CTGGTCACATTGTTTTGTGCCATGAGTAGTGATGGGAGACTAGCTCCAGCCTGAGCCTCAGTGCTCTGCCACCACTGTCTCTCCAGACCCTCTCAGCCTCTCTGGGACCCCTTTCATGTTTCCATTTGCTGAGTCTTTCCCTTCAAGTCTCTTGAACACCTTTTTCTGTTTCAGTACCCTTGAGTGAAATTATTAAGACATAAATGCTAGTTTGAAACCTGCCAGCATTCTCAGGGCACCTCCTTTCCACCTGCCTGCTGAGGGTAGGGTGTTAGCTCCTGTTTTTGCACCTTTGTATGCATTGCACCTTTGTATGCATAGGCACCAAATTTATAAGTGTCAATAAAGCCAATATCAAAGACAACAGGTGAAGTTTTCTCAAGTCTCCTACTCACTTGCCCTGCTCTCCAGAGCAGATATGCTTTAGCCTTGTGAGGCAAGTTCTAAATATTTGTCCCGCTGTCCTCATGGCATGGCATTAGATGCTGAAAAGGCTGGAGGTCACTCTGCCTTTTTGACACTTGAATAATAACAACAAATGATGTAGAAATCTCCAGCTCATTGGAAAGTTTCAGCATTCAAGCAAGGAAGAATCATGAAATGTCAATTCTCAATCAGAGATACACTTGGATGATCAGAACTGGTGGTCATACAGACTGCTTCTGGCATTCCAGTTCATGCCAAGTGTTTCTTCCCTGCTGCAAATCCACCCATGGAACTGCTTACACCAACAGGGGGACAAAACTGTGTTCCAGATGATTATTCATTACTCATTCAGCTCATCATAAATGTGAGACACTGAGTGGTAACAGATACATCTTCAGGCCAGACATATAACTAAATTACCAAGGCATAACGAGTTATTGGATATCACCAGACTCACAGCAACACCCTGTGCCTGTGCTCCTTTCCATGGCAAACAGAGCACTTTGCATTTGCTGTAAGCAAGAGGTGCCTGTGGACATTTTCCCTGGCCCAGCTGAACACAGTGACCCAGTAGCTGCAGTGCCTCCCCCCAGGCTGAGCCACCTGCTTTCAGGAGGTTTTAGCCTCACTGTCAAGGGCTGGAGCTCCCACAGGTTAGATGCTGGCCCTCCCAGTGTCAGAATCTCCTTTGGTAACTAACACTTTCCTAGAGTTTGTGCCTCTCTTTCTACCAACACACTCTCCTCTCTCAGTGACCCTTGCTGACCTGGGTCTTCCACAGGGTGTTCTGAAACCAACTGATCAGCAGGATGACCCAGCCTGACACAGAAATGGGTGAATAATACGAAAATTTCTACCATTATTATGAGCTTCAGGTAATTTTATTTTTTGGGGGGGGAGGGGGGTGGTCAGTTTAAATAATGTTCAATAGTGCTATAAAAGTGGTGTTTTAGCACAGAATCCTGACTGAAACGTTAAGCTTTCTCTTGTATATTGACAGTCTTAGATGGTCTGGTATATCCAAGTCAAACCTGAGTTCAACACAACCTGCCTTGGTCTAGGTTTCCATTTTCATATAAGGCTTTTCATTGGGTTGTATGCATCATACTCCTCAACTCAAGCAGCTGTGGGCATTACAAGAGATGAATCATCACCACAGAGTTGCTCATTGTCCCTTCCTGGTGCTCTTCTGAACTCTGTGTACTTTCTTTCACTTATGCTCCCATATTTACGGAGTCCCTTCATCTGCAGGGACTGCAGTCTTCATCAAGGGAAGCAGAAGTTTTACAGGGAAGCAGAAACAAGAAATTGCCTTAAAACTGTTACTTGGAACATTTGTTTGTGCTATCACATATCTTGATGAATTTTTCACTGAAGGCTGTAAATTATGGTGCAGGGAAAACATAACCCCTGTCTTTCAATTATAGTCTATCTCAGAGCTAGAAATCCCCTTTTTAACAGTCTGGACTGTGCCTGGCAAGCCATGAGCACACTGCAAATAATATATAAACAAATAATAAACGTTAGGCTACAATAACCTGTGCTCTTGGGAGTGAATGCAGTCTTGGGCAATTGCTGTATTTCACTGAGGTTGTCAGTGTTATTCATCTACAGAATTGTTTCAAAAGAAATTGTAGGTCTTGTCTTCAACATACATTTCTGATGTATGTTTTTCCTAGATTGCAGCTGGAGTGCCAATTTCTTATGCCTTTTTTTTTTAACAGAAATACATGTAGGGAAAGAATGAGACTTCTCTTATCATTAAAGATTTTAAAAATCAGTATTTATTTTACTGCTATAATATAGTTCCATTATCATTTTTTGAATAGCACATTACCAGTAATTGGTTTAAACTTTAGAGCCATATCTATCTCACATCCATTATCTAAGTTGATTTGAAGAGTGCTGGCAGCGTGCAAAGACAAACAGAACTAATTGAACACATACAGTCTCATGAACCAAATTTTCAAGAAATTTACCTAGTGGAAAAGCCAGTTTGAGTCTGTCAGTTACTCTTCTATTGAACCACCTTTCTGGGACCTACGTGCCTGGTTGCCGCAGCACGAGAAGCTTGCTTCATGGTAGTTTGCATGACTGAGCATTTGCTCAAAACTAAATAAAAAATGAACAAGGGCTCAAGCATTCTATGTAATGAGTTAATATTTCCTACTGTACAAGGTTGTAATGACTGATCGTATACTCCTCAATCGTATTTAAGTTCAAATTGCTGTCTAATTGAAAGAAATATATGGGGACATTGAGATAAGCTCAGGACTAACAATCAGCCCTTAAAATCTAATGCAGGTTGGCAGTGACCAGGAGAGACAAACAAATCATCATTCTTTTTTTTCAGAAACAAGCATCAGATGATAACTAGATTCCCTTATGAAGATGTCATTGTATGCAAATATTAGTCATGGCTACCTCTGGAGCTTTGTTGGTGCAGCAGACCCAGCAGCCGTGAGCTGTCTTCTCAGGATGTGACTTTATTTGCAGTAGATTTTAAACCAGTTCCATAAAATGAGGTTTTAAACCTTTACAGGGAAGTGTTTTCCCTTTCTAACTGAGCATTCTACATATGACCCTGCTGCATCCTTGACTGGTAGAACAGACCTAAGTCCCTGGAGTTTCTGTTCTGAAGCACTAGGGCTTCGACACTCTCCATGGGTACAGTAATATCAATGGCAGATCCCATCCATCTTGTGTGCATGCCACACACTATTCAGTTAAAAATCACCATTAATACTGTCCCCACTGCAAACTAGTTGAATCAGATAATGTGTAGTAGAGGTTTGTATACACCATTAGCTTCTTTCAACACAGATTTTGCAGTCAGGGATGAAATCTCCTTAAATCGCAGACAAAGTGCCACTCACGAGGCAGGGATGTAGCAAGTAAGGCTTGGGGGACCTGCACTGCTGTTTCTTTCCTCCACTGAATGTTGCAGGACTGACCACCACTCCCACTGAAGTAAGAAAATACACCCATTGTCTGATTTCCATAGCTCATTCTGGCTACCAATCATAGCATAAACTTCTAACCATCTCACAGGTGCCCCTAACATGAGGATGTAGAATCACAGAACATCCTGGGTTAGAGGAGACCCAGGAGGATCATCTAGTCCAACTCCTGACTCCACACAAAGCAACCTAAAAATTACACCATATATCTAAGACCATTGTGCAAACACTTCTTGAACACCAACAGGCTTGGGATCATGGCCTTTCCCCTTGGGATCTTGTTGCAGTGCTTGACCACCCCCTCAGTGAAGACCTTTATCCTAATACCCAGCCTGAATTCCTCTGACATGGCTTTAAACCATTCCCTTGCATCCCATCAGACACCAGAAAGAAGAGATCAGCACCTCCCTCTTTTGAAAAAGTTGTAGAGAGCACACACGTGATTCTTCCACTTCCCCTTCTCTAAGCTGAACAAACCAAGTATACTCAGCTATTCATCTTTAAGTCATGCCCTCTAGTCCTTTCACCATATTTTTCACCCTCCTTTGGACACATTCTAATGTTTTATATTGTTCTTACGTTGTGGAGCCCAAAACTGCACACAGTATTTGAGATGGGGCTGCACCAATGTTGAGTATAGTAGGACAGTCGCTTCTTTCATCTAGAGGGCTGTTCTGAGCTTAATGCACCCCAAGATAGCCAAAAACAAGGGACTGATTTATGCCCAAATAAAGACGCCTCTTGGTACCATTGAAAGTAGGTAAGAGGAACTGAAACTCATCCTGACTTGTTATTTCTTGGTATTATTACCAGATATGAGAAGCAACAAACACATTAAAAAAAAATCACCCATATTCTAGATATAGCAACTGAAAAAGAAGAAAAAAGACTTACACAGCTCCCCATCACTACCCTCCTCTGCTATTTCCACATGATATCTCCAGCCTTCCTCATAATCTCTGCACCTTTACTGCAGGATTGGTTTTTATACTAGGAGACAGCAGAGAGGTGAAGAAGATGACAAAAGCTGCTGGTAGGACTGCCATGGCCGCTGGATGCCAAGGCACTATCTCATGGTGGAGATACGTTCACTGATACAGCAAGGAGAAGCTACTCAAATTCAACAATGATGAGAAAACTAGACTCTGTCCTTTCTGGGTCCTCCAGGATAAACTGACACTTCATAACATCATTTGTAGAAAGGCAGCTCCGGGTTCTAAAAATCATACTCTATTAAATAATTGCAGAGTCATTTATAAAAGGGAAAATATTTTAAAAGAACATTAAAAATGCCTCTTCTTCTGCTAAAGTCCCCTGAATGTTACCAGAGTTATATCTCATTACTCTAGAGTACTCTTAGCACTATATATACCCCTCTGGAATATGTATTGCCTTTATTTTTAACTAAAATGATAAGTAAAGTTAGATATTTTTAGCAGAAATACTCTACACTGATTCATAGAGCTGTGCTGATACTAGAGCTTTTTTCTTTACTCATTTCACCTTGATTCCAGGAAAATATGATCCTTTCTTGAGAATGTGGTTTTATTCATGGCATTTTTTTCTCTGATTGATGAAGCTGATTGTGCTTTTTTATGGATGAGGAGCACTTACGTGAAATCAGTCACTTGTGAAACTCCATGTTAGAGATATTCTTCACCTCAGGTAAACTTCCTGGAAGAAAGAGTGAGTAATCTTTTGAAAGATTAAGGAAAGGGAGGGGAGAGAGAGAAAATAAAAGACTAAAATCACACAAGTTTTTTCATGAAGCCCACATAAAGTAGGCTCAGAAAAGGATTCATTTTGGGCTGCTCATCACAACAGCAGAAAAAGAGCTGATTCAGTGCACACTAGTGCAATAGGTAAAATTGATGTCTTGAAAGCAGTATACATTTCTATTGCCTCAAAGAAAACTTTACATAAATTCAGAGTTTTAGTAATGCTTTGCGCGTAATCAGAGCTGTTTAATCTTGTCAAACAGTTGCCCTCTGGGAAGCAGGCATTTCTAAGGAGAACATCTGACAGGCAGCTCCATTTTAGAGACTGGCAGCAGAAACAGCGGTAAGAGTTGCACTGGGAGCTTCCTTCTAGCAACAGTGACATTTAAGCAATTTTTGATCCTCAGGCAATTTTAGCTACCAAGTATGGGGTGGTATTTTTCCCTTCTGTTATGAACTGTAATAATTTGTACCCCTGTAAGTTTTCTAAAGCCCAAGCCATGTTCATGTTCCACTATGCAAGGTCTTCTAAAACCCCAGGAGAAAGCAGCGCAGAATTTGCTGTGAATATTCTGAAGTTCTTTTTCCCAGTGGGGATCAGCTTTGGTCCATGAAATGCATCTGGCTTTTCTGGCCACTGCTAGGCTTGGGCTCTGCAGTGTTTCTTCAATGTCTACCTGTGACAGGTCCCATGGATGTACTGAATCATGATTTCTCCTTTGAAGACTGTCCTATATGCCTTCCTGCCAATGCAAGAAGGGGAACAGTGGTGATGGCAGCTATACCAAAACCACAGGGAAGAAGCCATCTCCCCTTTCTCTGCTGGAAGCAGAAGGCTGCATCCATACCATTCCTGGAGACAGTCAAAACTTCTTCACAAGCTGTAACGTCTTTTAACCACTGGCCTGTGTTAGTAGAGCAGGGTGTTTAAATGCAGATAGGCAGGTAGGTGAGTAACAGTGCACCTCTGTGTTGCAGGTGGTTGAAAATTGACCAGTTAAGCTCTTTCAAAGGGGACAATTGTGAGATCTCTGTTCCTTTGAAAATTGCCTCCAGATGCCTATATACATCTTTAGACCCTTAATCACTTTGCATTCATCACCATGAGGGACATGGATTAAAGACATTCTCAGGCACATGTAATCCAGAGACACTTTAGCCAGTATAGCCTAGATAAGATGCTGACAGGAGAGAGTCAGTGTTTGGAAATCATCCTCTTCTTCTCCCTTATGTTTTTGTCTTTTAGTGATTTGGGTATTTTTTTTCCCTTCCCTGAATAACCAATGTGGAATTATTCTTCTGTGAGGCATTTTCTTTGCAGTTTCCAAAAGTTATCTCACCTTAATGAGCTGCAATTCCTGTCCTGCATGTCACAAGGGTCTTCCATTTACCCTTTAGGAAGTTGTCTCTGTTGAGGAATGGAAAACTCTGCAGCAAAAATGAGAGCAGCTGAAGAAAAGGGAGGCATTTTACATATCACAGCTGGAAAAGTTATATACTTTTTGCTTATCCCAGTGTGTGCAGATGCTAAAATACACCATGGAAGTTAGAGTAAAGCAAGTCCTCACTGAGCCATCTGAAGTTCAATTTTTTTCTGCTTGTGCATCTCCCAATGGCATTGGGGGGACTTATTACCCCATCATTGCTCAGCTGTCAGGAGAGGACCTGGCCACAGGGGCAGTACAAGTTTTGTGGTATCTGTCACATCCTATGAGAAGAAAGCTCTGTAGGCCAGCAGCCACCAGTACTTTCCAGGGTGGGAGCTTTTTTTAAGTGTAGGACTTCCTCCACTATGGAAATGAGACTTGGATGACAAAGCCTACAGAAAACAGTGTGCAAATGGCCTGGAGGAAAAAAATGAATCCCAAAACCAACCTTTTATTTTTCACTTGAATGTTTTTATGGTATTTTCCCAGTCTCCCATCGAGCCATCAACAAATATGAGTGTTTCTCTCTGTCATAGTGTTTTGTGGATTAAGCCTAGAAGGTCTTCAAAATCCCAGTTCACTCAAACACCCCTGAGGTGAGAGGCAGCTACTGAAGGAGGATGTTTAACTGTATCTAATAGCAGCAGCCCTAGTCCGCCATCTACTTTTTCCACCACCACTGGCTTCATCCTCTCCTGGAAACTCCTGAATATCATTGGTGGTCCCCAAAACATACTGACCCTGATGCTTCAGTCCATTTGTCTTCCCAGGATCCACTAGAGAGGCAAAGCTGTTGGGAATGAGGAGCAGCATCCCACTGGGAGCTGCAGAGACATGCCTCTTTCACTCCAGAGTCTGCTAGGTTGGAAGGAGTGGAGCCATGGTCTTAGCATTTTCCTTTATTGTATGCTGAGACTTGGCTTGCACACAGAAGTAGGGGAGACAAGGGTGTAAATATGTAGTTTTTGAGCATCATGGTGGTCACAGAATGGTCAGGAGTCTAACACTGTACTGAGACTTTCCATCACATCCAGAAGCACAGCAACCTATCCTACCAAGAAAGATCTGTGTGGTTTTGTTCCTGCCCATGCAGCACCCAGACTGGCAACAGGTAGAGTCAGCCAGGAAGGTGAGAGATGGTGGGTGGTAGGACAGACTGGGAAGACTTCAGACATTTGGCTGTTCCAAGTGTGCTCTACTTAAATGTCCTCAGGAGAACCCAGGATGGATGTTCCTCTTCCTGACCAGCAGCAAGGCACAGGACTCCTCACCTCCTCCCCAGAGGTATCTATTGTCACCAACTTGGTCATGCAACCTCACTTCTGACCTCCTCCCACATAATCCTGGCCTTCCCTGTTCCATCCTCACCACCAGCCTTCATCCCTGATGTCCAGCTGCTGGTTCAAGGAGCTGTAAAGCTCCCTTTCCTGAGTTTTTTTAGGGCTGGGACTGATATCCCAGGCTGGTCCACAGCCCAGAAATTCTTCTCCCAGAGCCCATTGCTCCTTTTGAGCTGCTGGGAAAACTGCCAGTTGCTAATGGGCAGACAGTGAGACCGACAGGAACAGAGGCATCTTTAAACCAACATTTGCTGACTTGCAGCCTCAAAAGGAAAATCTGAGCTCTGCATGTTCTCTACACTCCACAGGCACAGTTTTCCATCGCTGTTGACCTTCTTTTCTCTCCCATGCTTTTGCTATTTGCTCTGACAGCTGTTTGCCTTATCCCAGGGATCCTGTGGACAGGGACCATTCCAGCCCTGTGGCCGGAGGAGGCTCAGATCAGAGTGCAGCCTTCCCACCCCAGCCCCATGGACTCACAATGTGGGAGGTAAATAATACGTCGCAACTGCTGCCTTTGAATAACACAAAACACTGCCTGCACTTGATGCCCACAGGTTATTATTTCTGTGGCAAAGCTGAAAATATGGGACAGATGAAAGAAAGGTGCACTTACAAAAATTGATGGTGCTTGTTTTTAGATCAAATTTGTGATTTTGTAGACAGCTGTAGAAGAGCCATAGGGGAGAGTTCAAAGGAGGGCAGGGTTGGGTGAATTGCTGTTCTGGTCCCTGTCCTTCCCATGCCTCATAAAATGAAATAATGATAAAGTAAAGTGCAGTTGCAGCCTCACTAGAAGATGTCATAGCTATGATAGCCTAATGAGCTTCAAAGGACCAAAGAGTGTCAATAGATAAAATCTATTGTGGGAAGATTTCTAATGCTCAGTACAGCAGGGAAACACTTTCTGAAATCCCAGAACATTCATCAGTGACAGTTTAGACTATAAATTCATGCAGTATAGACATATTCAGTACTCTAATAAAGCACATTTTCACTTTTATGAATCCAGAAAATTGACAAAGTAAAACCAGTACTAAACAAAATTTGAATGTGGAGTGTTGTAAAGTAAAATACACTTTGGAAACTTGAATTTTTGAAGGTTTGGGATTTTTCTAGAATTTTGCTGTGTAACAGAGGATATTAGAGTAATTAAGACCTGAGAAGAGCATCAAACATCTTCCTTTGCTTCAAAGGCACACAACCAAGCTTTATATGTTAAAACAAACTGTTTCAAATCAATTAAATTACCTCTTGCATCTCAGTACCCATCCTTGTGAATAGGAGTGAAGGAGATGTCCCAACTTAATTCCATTAAAGTTTCTTGGTGTTGTTTCAATCACTTTCTTGTAAAGAATCTAAGGAAAAAAAACATTTAAGACTGTTAAAGGATGGATGCAAAACTGAGTGCACATCCTGATCCACAGGGCTTGCTATCCAAAATTTGCTGTCAAAACGAAGTGTTAGGAATTTACTGTTCTGGGTCTACCATGGCTGAATTTACTGAGCTGGTGGGAGGCAGGCAGGAGACAAGAAACAGACAGACAACCAATCACAAGCTCCATGTGACTTTTGTTACCAAAAAAGGCAACAGTATCACTGAAAGCACAGACCCAAGTTCAGCACATGTGATGTCCTTCAGCTCTGCTTGGCACTGGTATGGCCCCGTCTGAAGTACTAGATCTGGTATGGAACTCCATGCCCAGCAAATGGGTGACTTAGAGAAAGCCTAACAGATACCAGCGAGGTCCAGAAACCATGATTGTAAAGATTTAGAACAAAGAACTGAAGAAAGATGGGAATTGCACTGTTCAAATTCCAGTGAGACCCCCAAGAGGAGGGTAGGCAAGCATCATTAGGGATTGACATGTGTGCAGGTGAACCAGAGTAGAGGCAAGAGAAAGGACCAAGAGGCCCTGAAGATGCTTCCAGGCTTCTCCTTCTAAGATAGCACAAAAGTGGAGCAAAACAGAGGGCAGAACATCTGCTTGTTCATAAGCTTGTTCATAAGTCTGCTGGTGGAAAGGCCAGATAAAACCTTGGCCAGACCACTCCTGTGAGCAGGCTGTCCCTGATGAGTGGAACAAGCATATGAAACAATGATACTTTCCAAAGATCAGAGCAGAACAATAGCTGATTATACCATCCGTAGTGTATGCAGAAAAGTCAATGTTGACTGCCTGGGAGCGGGTACTCAGGCCACTTGACTTTATTGAAACTGAGAGCACAATACAGAGGCACTAAGAAATTACTAAAAACCCATTATTGTTGTTTTGGTGTAAGCAAGGAGGAGAAATTAAATTCTTCTAGAGTTTGAGAAGTGTGTCTTTTTAAATATCACAGGTACAAACAGTTTTCCTTCATATGACTGCTTCACTTTCAAAGCTGCATCTGACAGAAGAGCTAGTCTCCTTGACAACAACATGAAGCCTTTTACACAGGGGGATTGTGCTGTATGGCTCATCACAACTTCCAAGACATTGCTACTGGACAAAGAGTACTTATTCAAAATAGGCAAACTCCTGTTGCATCAGTCATGGTAACGATTTCCTTTGAAGCTTTTCACGGGCAGAAACCAGGGGTATGTCAGGACAGTGAGTTAAATGGTTTTTTTCCAGATCAAACAAAGCACAGTTGTGCACTGATGCTTTTTTTTTTTTAATCTGAGGTCCTTACCTGTTTCTTGTTCTAATTAAGTCCTATAAATGCATGATCTGTGTGAGACAGAGAATCTTACGACACTGAGGTTCCAGCTCTTGGTTTTTTTTCCAGGTAGTTAACTCTTTCCTACTTTTTAGTCTGATGTAAAGAACAATCATAAACGTTGGCAATTAGAAATTCAGAAAACTACTGAGAGCCGTAATCTGAGTCCTTTAATTTCTCTCACTCAGTTTTGGTATATGTGTGCTACAATAATATGTATGCAGCTGTGGAGTTGGGATAATTTAATTAACACTTTAACAGTGGAAACAGAATAAATTAATTAACATTTTTCTCATTTTTGAATGAGAAAAGCCCTGGAAAGGAATATTGTCATTTTTGAGTTTAATCACATTATTCAATTTTAATAATGTGACAAGAGTACTTAGACACAGAAAACTTACTAGGTGTTCAACTGTTTCCTTATTTTTCATCTTTTTTTTAAATGTTATTTTATAAGAGTAAAACAGAGCAGAATTAAAAAAAAATATCTATTTTTTGCTGGGTTTGCTCTGAGAAGAAATCAGCTTTATACACCATAAGTAATTAGAGTTCATTTTTAATATCTTGCTAACTTCACTATAGTCATCAGCATTTTTGCCTAATTCTGAAAACTGCATTTAACATCAAGAGTCAAAAAGTTTTGTAAACCAGCAGTCCCAAGTAGCCACAATCAGGCTGGCACTGGCAAGCAGAGTATTCGACCTCTGCCTCCAAGGCAGAGACACATATTCAGAATGACACAGAATTGCTGTCCTCATTTTCTCAACCTCATGTTGCTGCTCAGGTCTTTCTTCTGTCATCTCTGGTCACTCAGGGAATAAAACAGATTTGCAGAAAGGAAAATTTAGTATTAAAACAAGTGTGTCATACACCCTTATTGTATCAATTCCATCAGGACCTAATAGATTGCATACTGGTTAGAACCAGGATCAGGGCAACTGTTTTTCTTGAGTTACTCTGTTTGTGATCTGGACATTGTTACTGAAACAGAAATTGAGGCAATGAAACAGGAGAATAGCCAGTAGAATAAGTCGATGTACTGGGAAATATATGTATATAAAGATGCAAATTAAATGGTTTGTGCAGGAAACAGTATATTTAAGAAATTAATATCTGAAATTTGCTCAAGGTTAACATCAAGTATGTCAACTGGTCGTTTCCTTCTCCCAGGCCAAGAAGGTGATCAATACAAAGAGGATAAGAAACCATTTGCAAGATTTACCTTCAAAAGGGTAAGGATCCCAGAGCATTTTCATCCTTGCTGCATCCCACTGTTTCTGCTGTCACATCTGTTCCTCTATCATCGCCCTGAAACTGATGCCATGCTGAATTCACTGCAGCAATCACAACTGTTATATCTTAGTCTGAAAGCTGCACTCATCATAAAAACTTAAGAAGTTTCAGAGACAAATGTTCAACTTGGCAGAGGCAAATAAACCAACTGGTCTGTTTCCATGCTTTTAGATAAAGGTCCTGTTAATGAGCATGCAGAAGCATTGCTGTGATTTTCTCAACATCATTTCATTGCTAAAGAAATTGGGTCCTTTTTCCAGCATCTCTCCTCCCTCGCTTCCCAGAGAAGAGAAAAACAAACTTGATGATTCCACATATTCCCTATGGGATGGGGGAAACCCTCCAAATACAGAGCTGGAGGGGTCAATGACAGCAGTTTCCAGACACCATGACCCACATACAGATGTCAAACTGGACAGTTTCCCATAGAGCTCTCCACTCTTACACTATTTAATCTGTAAGAGAAAAAAACAGTCAAAATGGCCCTGAGGATTATTGCCTGGCCTCCCTTGTGCAACATGCATCAGAGCTTGGAAATCATTATCTGAAGGATAAAAGAAAAAGCCTGAAGTGCTAGAGAGCACATGTCTAAATATACCTTCTCCATGTATTTGTTTCGAGGACTTCAGCAAACAAATCAAGCCTTTCTTTTATGTTTTATTTCTCAGCGCTTAAGCAGACTTACACGTGAGACATCAGACATAGGGGATATGGATATGGGCCAGAGAGCCACTTGAGAAGGTGGGAGGTGAAAGAAGATGGGACCACTGGATGCACCAGGACGTAGACACAAAAAGAATGACCAACTATCAAGAAGACCAGGAACTGACTCCTGTAGGGGGAGGATACAGGAACAGATGTGATGATGGAGACAGATGGATGTTTCCCTGTGTTTTCCATCTGCATATGCTGGAGTCCTTCTTCTTTTCCACTATATCATTCTGTTCCTCCCAGTTATTTGAAGTATTTCTACTCAGTGTTACTATTTTCTGGTACCTTTTTCATCTTCCATTTTTTTCTGTTCTACATGGTATGGATTTTCTTTGTTCCACGAGTTCTTCTCCTTTTTTGCCCAACTTGGTTCCCTGTTTGTTCCTGCATAAATTTATCCTGTTGGCTGACCATTATATAAAATATCGTAGGAACAGGATGCTTCTTTGTAACATAATTAAGGAGGTTGTGTGAACAGCTGATCTTCTGGTATTTTCACCAGGAAAAAAAGGGGGGAAAAAGCTCTTCCATTGCATGTCTATTTTAGATGAAAATTGCACTGGACAGAAGCCAGGTGGTGCAGTAACCCCAGGCACCCCCAAAGCCTTCATTCTTCTCAGGACAAGGAACATTCTCAAAGTCACCTTCACACACTGATGTTTTCACAGTTCCCTCTAAATTAAGACATACAAACAAAAGGAATGAGTGAAGACAGAAATCAGTCTGTTTCAGTAAGGTCTTTCAGTGAAAAATGACCCACAGTGGTGGGTCCTACTGCAGAGACCTGACTTCTTATGGGATTTCAGCTTCTTCTACCACCAATCCCATGGCCTCCAGGACAACTATGGTGTGCAAAGGGCAAGGTATAAGTGCAGAGAGAATTTCCTGTGAGCATGACTTCGAGAAAGACATGTAGATGGTGGTGTGACCAACCAGCTGAACATGGAGTTTCAGGACTAGGCAAAAACAAATGTGTAACCTTTGGGTCTACAGAAGAAATAGAAGGATGAAAAATTGGACCAGATCCACAATAAAGTATGTGCATCAGCACTTTGGAAAACGTTGAGACGTCCTGGGATTTCCAAGGTTATTAAACAGAAGTTAAGCACTATGTCAAGAACTAATCTTGCCTACACAGAGAAGAGACTGTCAAAATAAGCCTACTTTTAGCCTAATTATTTTTTATTTTTAGCCTAACTAAGGTCAAATAGAAAATAAATATTTACAAGTCTACTGCAAAGAGGAGCCAAGCACTGCAACATGTTACTAGTGGTGATGATGTTTGCTCCAAGACCAGACTTTTTAAAAAAGTAATTAAGTCCCTTTCCAAGTGCTGTTGAATGTTACAGTGTTTCATCTAGGATTGTTCTCCAGCCTGTGCTGAGCAGCACGGTAGGAGAGATGACCTCTGCAATACCTTTAGGCTTGTACCCTACCACACATGCTCAATAAAAGTGTATTATCAGGCTGCCTGACACAGGGCTGTGCATAGTGGATGTGTCCTTCCACTGTATGCAAGATATGTCCGCTTTTCAGTCGGTGGGATCTAAAACAGAAACAATCTGCCTCGAATTTCCTAGGGCTAAGGAACAGTCTGAAAGCCCATACAGACATGAGCATAGAAATCAGGAGAAAAGGCAGGAGGCACAAGGGCCATGGGCCGAAACATGCTGCTCAGATGCTTCCTCAAGTGAAGTAGTGAGGGCTGCTCTGAGCACTACACTTGGCACCAGAGCCAGCCTGGCATTTGGGATCCTTGCAGACTGAAGCCACACTGCAAGTCACCACCACTGCTTTGCACAGAAATCTGCTGAACTGAATGGATGTCAAGAAGCAATCAGGATGAGAGATAAGGGCTGGACTTGATGATCTCGGAGGTCCCTTCCAACCCAGCTGATTGTATGATTCTATGATTCTATGATATATCAGGCTTTTGTCTTTATCAGAGAATTCACAGTCTTTGCTGTGTTTTCCCTGATTTGTGAAATAATTCACACACTGTATGTTAATAGGGATATTAGCAACCAGAAGTGATCAAGTCTATAGAAAATGTACTAGTCATGAGGAACACAAGCAATAGTCATCATCCACTCCATTCTTGCAAGTTCAACCATTGTGAAAACATCAGGGTGGGCTAATTTTATGCTGCATAATGTATTTGACCTACCCCTTTCACTCAGATGCACTTGAAACTATTCAGCTGATCCTAAGCAAATCTTGAAACGAGCACTAATTTGTAATGTTATTGATTTATGAGCTTATTGCTCCCTATATGATTATAATTGTTCAATAGGTCAAGCACTCTCTTTACTTAATTAATATTTGCCACAGCCAGTAACCTGAAGGCATGTTGGTGGAAATATACTCAAAATGTGCAGTCTGCAAGCTTCTTAAAGCTAACAAGATATTTACACTTCCTTTACATTCTACATTAATCATAGAATCATAGAATCAACTGGGTTGGAAAAGACCTCTGAGATCATCAAGTCCAACCCTTGATCCAACACTGCTGTGATTACCAGACCATGGCACTAAGTGCCACATCCAGTCTCATCTTAAAAACCTTCAGGGACGGTGAATCTACCACCTCCCTGGGCAGCCCATTCCAGTGCCTGATTACTCTCTCTGTAAAAAATTTCTTCCTAATATTCAACCTAAACTTCCCCTGGCAGAGCTTAAGATCATGCCCTCTTGTCCTACTGCTGGTTGCCTGGGAGAAGAGACCCACCTGGCTACAACCTCCTTTCAGGTAGTTGTAGAGAGTGATGAGGTCGCCCCTGAGCCTCCTCTTCTCCAGGCTAAAATCTTCCCTGAGACACATCCAGGACATGTTTTCCCTTTGGGTTGTTTGGAGAAATGCACAGGATGTGAATGTTACCATAAAATCTCTGCTTCTTTGTCACCTACAAATAGCTTATTCATAAAGACACACGCACCTCATCATGTCATCCTCGCACTGGAACCCTTCATCCTTCACCTTCATGTTGCTCTGTTTTGCTAGCCTGTGACACCAGTTAGTCATGCCATGTCAAGCCATGTGCATGCTTCCAAAACTTGCAGTATCAGGCTTTAGTTTCAGGGAGAAAAATATGAGGGATTTTACCCTATAGCTAAATACACATCTGGGCTCCCTTTAACTCAGTTTTGACAAATACTGTGGCTTTGACCCTGAAGACAATCAGCAACAGGGCTGTGCCTCACTACCAGCAGGCCCCAGCATCACAAGCAATGGTCCCATTCCTGAAGCATGGCAGCTCTGGCAGGTTTCAGTATATGTCTGTAACAGCTCCAGTAAGGTACCTAATGCACAGTGTGATGTCTCACTGAAGCTGGCTCCCTGCCAAGTCTCCAAAACTCACCACAAGAAGTCCCCTCCCAAACCTCAGGGAGAAGAGGGGAAAAAAAAACCAAAACAAAACCAAGAGAACCAAAACGAGAGAGAGACAGCTAAAGCAATACATATAAATATATTTACACTTATATTACAGTTACATACAATTGAAATATATATACAATTTCACAAGGAAAAGGGAAAGGGAAGGGGGAAGGGAAAATAAAAAAAGGAACAAAACCAAAATAAAATATATATATATCCCGATCAGTAGCCCAAGATCTAGTAACTAAGAGAATTAGCAAAAGACCATCTTACTACTCTCCTTGGGACAACGGAAAGTCACCAAACCCGACACGCTGGAACGACCACTGGTAACCTCCGTCTCCCAAGGTCGGCAAGGCCTTACCAGGCCTCGCTCCCCAACACGACAGACTCAACAGCAGGGAACCTGCACCTCCAAGCCGCTGGAAGGAAAGAGGGGGTGAAGGCCTTTCCTCCTTTCTTCTTATACCTCGGCTTACGTAAAAATCGTAGGGAATACTGGGTAAATCTGGGCACTTCCTTGGTTACAAACTGGTCACCAAGGAAGGCCTAGACTAAACTACCACATTCACCAAAACAGCAATACCTGGCCTTGTGGGCAGATATGAGTGAGTGTATTATGCACACACAATATTTTCAGTGCAATGGAGGATTTATTAGCATCCTGCTGTGGTCCAGTCCCACAAGCCAGGCTGTCCCTGTGCCAATAAAGCCACTCCATGATCATGTAGATAGTGCACCATCAGCAGGGAAAGTTGATCCACGTATGCCAAAAAGCAGGATGCTGCTTGCCTCTCAGTGGAGACAGGACAATTTTCACACAGTAACCCCTCAACAGTCATGTTAATTGTAAACTTGCATGTCTCTGATCTTTTGGGAGACTGTCAAACACAGTTTTCAGATTTTTTTGCTCTCCAAGGCTGCAGTGTTTTGGTATATGTTCAATTTCTCCATCGGTGAAAGCTGTAAAGGAATCTTTGTTACACCATGCAGCAGAACACAGCTTCCTTTTATCTATTTTCACAGATAAATTATTGGATTTTTTATCTCTCAGGCACTATTCAACCTTTAACTCTTCATTCACATTTCCAGTCACTCAGCAAATTCCATTTCTTTCTTTTCTTATTTATTCCTACTCATTGCTCCTTTGAATGAATGCCTTGCAGTTGGCCCTGAGGGGAATATTTTAGGAATCTGTTTTCTCTCAGATGGCAGCTGAAAACCACGAGGGAAGGAGAAAACTGTAGATGTTCCCTTCTGCAGCAGGAAGGTTGCTGTGACATATTTGTGACATATTTATCTGTTGTTTTACACCCTCCTTGGACAGACAATGCTTGCAAATCCATAAATCTTCACCAGTTGCTGATTCTTCCTGCACTCTGTATCTGTTGTTTCAAGTAGATACCACACTATCATAATAAAAAATATATTGGTGACTTTAAACTACAGGCATCTGACTGGGGATGGCAAATCCCACTGCAGTTTCTGCAAGCCCCTCTAATGCTGGCTCCAATACCTGTTCCCTCTGCCTGCCATGGCCTGTCCACAGTGCTGCAACTGGAGGTGTATTTTTCTCCTCCTTCCTGCTCTCCTTTCATTTTCTGATGCATCGATGCCAACTTCATATCCCACTGCCTCTCTTTTCCTTGTCCCAGGGTGTCCTCTCTCTACTCAGATCTCTAAGTGTCTTGGTTTTCCTTTACCCACTCTATTACTCTCCTAAAATATCCAGCCCTCCTAATTTTCCATTCTCTCAAGCTGTGAATCAGGTTTTTTCCCTCCACCTGTGCCTGGGGTATTTCTTCCCTCTTGTAGGATCACCTCCTTTCTTCTCCCTTGCCTTCTTCATCTTGGTTCTAGTGGTTGCAGTAATAAACCCCATGCTTGTCCTTTGCCTTTCCTGTCATTCTGCATCTTTTCATCCTAGTCAAGTGGCATCTCTGCATTTTGAAGGTATGGCCCTCCCTAACTTGATTTCCAATAGATCCTACTCTTTAGTCAGTCAGCATTTTTCTGTAAATGCTCAGTGCTACTTCTGAATGTGTCTCTTTAAATCAAATTCATTCTGACTAATTTATTAAGAGAATTTCCTTTATGCAAATACTTAAAGCTTTGGGTTGTATCGTGTTTGCTCCTGGACCATTGCTCAGACAATTTACCTCCAGTGAAGTCGCTGGACTTCAGGAGACTGCATCTCTCAGCAGGTCATCAGGCTTTCTTTCCCCTTCATATTTTTCTGAACTGAGTTGGATTTCTGAATTACTGAATTTCTACTGAATTGAATAAAAAATTGATATTGTTGACGGTGTTAATCCAAAAAGGGCATTAATAAAACCTCCTAGGGTAATTCTTCTTCAAGAAGCTCCTTCTTTCTCTGTCTACTGCAAAATGCATACATTATGAAGATCCTGTAATGAACACAGTTTTTTTTTTTTTTAACATCATACCAAACACTTCTTTGTTCTACAGTTCTTGTTCATCTTTGTTCCTGTGAATGACTGTGGGCCTTCATCTACCACTAACTGCAATGGGCATGTTGTAAAAATATATTAGCATGTCCCTAATAAGGGTGAAAGCAGGAGGTGGCATTTATCCCTGTACTTTCTAACAAGACCAGAACTCTAGATACAAAAACAACATAATGTCAGGGAAAAATAAAATAGCTCTCCTAGCTGTGTTGCTTGTTAAAACATTTCAGCAAAAGATGCAGCTGTAAACAGCCAGATAGGCATTTTGAAAAACTCATAAAAATAAACTTTCTGAAAGTCAAAGGAAATATCACTAATATTTTAAGACTTTGGAATCAGTAGTACTCACTAAGATAGGTTTACTTTCAGAAAGAAAAAGGGTGTTAACGTCATGGGTAAAATAAAGTTGTTTAATATACTGTGCAAAAGAATAGGCAGTAAGTCACCAAAAAAAAAAAAAAAACCAACAAAAAAAAGCCAAACCAAACCAAACCAAACCAAAACAAACAAACCAAAACAAAACAAAAAAAACCAAACCAGAAAAACCAAATCAAACCAAAAATAAAAACCAAAACATCAGACTCAGTAAAATATTCAGAGAGAGCATTGGCTTTCCATGGAAACAACGTGTACACAGGAAGTCAGCAGAACATGACCAAAACAGGTAGCTTTATTTTTACTTTACTAAATTCAGGGGTATGGCAAGTGGAAAATGATGATTCTTGGGAAATAAATTATATTATGAGAAGGAAGAAAAGAAGAACTCGATTACTTGAAGCTCTTTGGACTGACACTTTATTTTACTCTGGTTTTCTCTTGTCCCAAGTGTTGTGAGAAAGGGGCTTGATTGAGCAAGGTTGGATTCCTGTGCAAGAACCATTTGTGGAGAAAAAGACAGAGATCGGGTGAAACTCTTGAGCCAGACCATGAAGAGCAAGAGTGCCTGGTCCATGGATATCATTAGCCTGCCTCAGTGCTGCCAAAAAGGGAGCAGGGGAAGGTATGGTGAAACCTGAGCCCAAGTCTGCAACTTGGATATTTTCTAATGCTATGATGCTGTGAAGGAAAAGCCTCCAATTTTCTGGGCGGTGATTTGCTGGGAGACCTTGTTTGATAGAAGGAATGACAAAGCATCTTTCCTTGAGTCACAATCAAGACTTTTCAAGGTAGGCAAGAAAAACTATTTTTTGCTGAGAATAAGAACCTCAGCATTCCCACAGGGAATGCCAAACCTTGGCCGCTTTGTCTTAAGCCTTTGAAAGTCTGATTTCACTTTTCCTAAATAAGCTTTGTTTTACCCTGGAGGTACTGCAGCTCATGATGGGCTGGGACACCACCCACAAAACTTTTCTAGTCCCCTTGGTGACAGCTCCAGGCAGATTTGAGGGGGTGATCACTAGAAATGGGGCTTCAGGAGGCCAACTGGGCTATGTCCCATTGGAGAAGGATGTCCAGGAGTTATCTCCAGGAGGCTGCTGTGCCCCTCAGCCACCCAGCACCATGCAGGGTAATCTCCACACAGGTGATGGCAAGCACCACCCTGGGAGTTTGCTGCACTGGGATGATTGCAATGTCTGTGAGCCTGTGGAAATCAGAGATCCCTTTGATCAAGACTAATGCAGAGAGCACAGCTGCACCAAAGGCTCTCAGTCATTAGCATCGAGGTACTGCTGTGATAGGCTGTGATATGCACAAGAAGCATATGCCATCTTCTGCAGTCCACTGTTAAAATCTTAGGAACGTATTTGTCTATTAATTTAAAATGCTTTAATCCTTCACCCCCTTTAGCAATGAGTAATTCACATTGACTGGTTTTCTCTTGGAGCACCTGGAAACACCAGCTGCTGCGTGTACCAAGCATCAAATGATGCTCTACCTTCGCTTCTTAGTAGTATTAGTACAGATGTATTGGTCACATAATCTGACCAGTGGATGTTTGGGATTGATCGGAGGCAGCGCTGGTGGAAGCATTCTAGGAGACACAGGTGGTGGCGGTAGATGACCCATGATTCAGAACCATATAAGAGAGTAGACAGCACAATGGCTCTGTAAACACTGATCTTGGTACTTTTCTTCAAGTGTTTATTATGCCATACTCTTTTATGGAGTTTCCCGAAGGCACTATGTGCCTTTGCTAACCTGTTGTCTATCTCCCCATCAATCTTACCGTCCGAGGAGATGAGGCTACCTAGGTAATTAAACTGCTGGACTGATTTGAGCTCTGATTGGCCAATGGTGATGTGGGGATGATGGGGGACTTCCTGAGGTGCAGGTTGATGGAGAACTTCTGTCTTCTTCAAGCTGACTTCCAGCCCAAAGAGCTCAGCAGCGTCTGCAAAGCAGGATGCTAAACACTGTAGGGCTGCTTCTATGTGGGCAACAAGGGCGGCATCATCAGCATAAAGCAGCTCCTGGACAAGATGGTTTAAGGTCTTGGTGTGGGAGAACAAGCAGCAGTCACGAGTATTGAGGCCATGTTGCTGAGAACACAGCTGCGCTGGGCAGGGCACGTCTCCAGGATGAAAGATCACCGCCTCCCTAAGATCTTGCTCTATGGTGAACTTGCCACCGGCTGCTGCAAGAGAGGAGCCCCGAAGAAAAGATACAAGGGCTCCCTGAAACAACATCTCAGCCTTGGCCATATTGATCAACATAACTGGTCTACTCTGGCCTCCAATTGGGAGGTCTGGAGACACACCATCTATAACGCAGCTGTCTCCTTTGAGAACACATGCAGGATCACTCTCGAGGAGAAAAGACAACGCAGAAAGAACCATGTCTTGTGGAATATACCATCTAAGGAGTCTTTCTGCTGTGCCTTTTGCAATCGGTTATGTCTATCTCGTATTGGCCTCATTAGCCACCAGCGTGCCTGTAATAAATGC